AGGTTGAAATTAGATAATTAATTGAAATAATTGCAGGAGAGTTGGGAAAAAATGTTACAGGGATGATAGATCGAACGTTTCTCTTAATCACCTAGCTCACAGGTTTTTTTACAACCACCCCGTAAATCAAGAAATAATTTTTTTTTAATTAATTCGGAGATATCTCAAAGAAAAGGTGGAAATTAGATAATTAATTGAAATAATTGCAGGAGAGTTGGGAAAAAAATGTTACCGTCATGATAGATCGAACGTTTCTCTTAATCACCTAGCTCACAGTTTTTTTTACAACCACCCCGTAAGTCAAGAAATAATTTTTTTAATTAATTCGGAGACATCTCAAAGGAAAGGTTGAAATTAAACAATTAATTAAAATACACACGTTCTACCCTCCAGGGCCAGGCCCAGGGTATTGTAATTAAAGGTATCATCGAAAGGAATTGATTTTTACAAAGTATAACAGTCTTCCGCGATTCTTATTCGAGATCAAGGGGGAGGGGGGCAAAAATTGGTTTTATCTTTCATAGTACTCTAATTAAAGGTCGCAACGAAAGGAACTGTTTTTACCAACTACCGCCCTTCTCTCTTACTCCTTATCAAAATTGAGGGGGAGGGGCGGGAGAGACACTGAATTTATTCTACCAACTCTCGCTTTCCTCTATGACCTATTATCGGGATCCGTTATAAATCCTTACTTTTTTGTAATTGGGGGAGGGGTTAAAAACTGGTATTATCCTTCATAGTATTCCAATGAGAAGTCTCAACAGCAGGAATTAGTTCCTACTGCCCTCCTCTCCAGTATCTTTCCGAGATAAGTTATATTTCCTTATATCTTGAGAACAAAATGGACGCCTAGAGGAGACATATCTATTAATGATGTCAAAACGTTAAGTGCGAGTATGAAATATTGGAGGAGGGTACCCACAATTGGCTATTGGAACATCTGGATTAAGCATATCCCTTGGTGAAGTCAAAATGAATATCTCGTGAACGAAAGTGTCGGAGAGGGGAATCTACAAAGAGCAAATGGGACGTCTGGACAAAACATATCTATTGGTGGACCACCTAGTCAGGATAGTTAGAGCACCTAGTTCTTTTCGAATAAATAAAAGGAAACGTGTTTTGCGATCGTTGCGACCAAACCGTCTAGCACCACACTGCAAAAAAGAGTATGGGAAATGATGGAAGGTATAACATTCCTTAGCAATTGCTGGGCTGGAACCACTTAATCTTTGTGTTGTGATGTCAAAAGTGTTTAATCAGCTTAGACTTTTTTCAGGAATTACCTAAATTTCATAATAGAAGAACTAAAGGATCCAGTGAGGTATTACATGCGCGTCTTAACCCTAGCTCTTATTGCCGTTTTGCAGAAATCTTCCTCTAGCGATTGCAATATCGTGCACGTTGGTCACAATCGTGTACGTGCTCACTAACGTTGCCTTTTATACGACGTTGTCGCCAGCGGAAGTCTTAGGATCGGAGGCGGTAGCGGTTTCGTTCGCCAACAAGCTGTTTGGCCCATTCGCACTCTCCATCCCAATCTTCGTTGCGTTGTCAACCTTTGGGGCGGTTAATGGAATTTTGCTCACCTCCTCGAGATTGTTCTACGCCGGCGCCTGTCACGGCCAAATGCCCGAAATCCTGACGATGATCCAAGCGAAACGGCTGACGCCGACGCCCGCAGTTTTGGCGATGGTAACTTGGACCGTTCGCCGATCCTCTCTCATTAGACACTTTTAGGCGTTGCTGTCGATGCTATACCTAACCGTTTCGGATATCTTCGCCCTGATTAACTACGTCGGATTCGCTACCTGGGTAAGTTCAAGGCGCACTGTCTACGCTTTAATGCGGTATTTTCAGTTGAGCATCGGAGTGTCGGTCCTGTGCCTGCCGTGGCTCAGATGGAAAGCGCCAAATTTAGAAAGGCCGATCAAAGTGAACTTAATCTGGCCGATCATTTACCTGCTCGCGACGATATTCGTGACCGCCGTGCCGATGATCGCTAGTCCCGTCGAGACCGGCATCGGTCTCCTTATGATCTTGACGTCGGTTCCCGTGTACGTCGCGTTAATAATGTGGAAGAACAAGCCGTGGTGGTACCAGAAGATCATATCCAAGATCACGGTAGCCTTACAGATGATATTCGTCGTCGTTGGAAAATCGAAAGCTGCCGAGTTGTGAAGATACTCGGTTATTGTAAAACGATGTTACTTACGTAAGGTTGGACACTTCTAATGCAACGAAATTAGAACTATCCACCCTTACAGTCATTAAAGTTTAAGCCCACAATGTGACAATAAAAATGTGTTGCTGCGCACGTAAGGTATCGCCTACAATAAAGATGTAAATGTCTTTCAATTCAGTTCCGACACAGATCATTAGTCTTCTCTAGCTTGAAGTTGAAATGAAGTGAGCACCACCACTATAACTTACGACACCGAATGTCGTGATTGACCTCGACTCTCAACTGTAGACTCGGATACCACGAACGGGGGGCGAGTTACCTATCTCGGAGGCGAGATTCTGCTAAGAAAGCTCGATGAAACCAACTCCTACTTTAAATAATTCTCTTTTTATAACAATAGATCACAAATGGTAAAGTTCTCTCACAACAAATCCGACATGTACAACAATCATTAGACCGAGTCGTTTTTTCATTACTGCATCAACGTCAAAATTCCAAGTGGTTGAAAGAAGAACGGTTCGGACGTATTGAATACAAATAGCAATAAATACAATTTATCATATTTATACGGCGTCTAAATCTACTCATCTGAGCAGTTCAATCATGAATTGGTTCATCCTTTATCTAGGATTCGTGGTGAATCATTGATTGAAGTTACATACTAGAATGGTTAAGTCCGACTGTTTGTTTTACGAGTTATACAGGGTACCCATTATGTATGGACTATAGTTATACAGGGTGCCCATTACGTATGGACTATAGTTTATATCTCAGTAAATATAAAATGTATACAAGATTTTTCTACATGAAAGTTATTTAATATTTTATTTCCTATAATAAAGCAGCATTCAGTTGTTTTTATTTCAGAAAACAAATGAGTAACGAAAAACAATTGAATTTTTGTAAATGGCAGTGCACCTTTTCATTAGGCTCATTTGATACAGATTTTTTTTCTCTTACCGATGATGTCACATGTTAGTACTCTAATACAAATAAAACAAATGAACGTGTACGTTTCTTATTAAACCTTGAAGACAATTAACAATAAAATGGTAACAAACATACACATTCATTTGTTTTATTTTGATATTTATGATATCTAGATTAATGTTATTGATGTGATTATAAGTTTGTTTGAAAAATTTTCTTGTATTAGGATACTAACATCATCGAAAAGATTAAAAAAACCTTTATCAAATGATCCTAATGAAAAGGTGCACTGCCATTAAAAAAAATTCAATTATTTTTCGTTACTCATTTGTTTTCTGAACTAAAAACAACTGAATGCCGCCTTATTATGGGCAATAAAATGTTAAACAACTTTCAAATAGAAAAATGTTGTATACATTCAATATTTACCGAGATATATACTATATTCCATACATAATGGGCACCCTGTATACATATTTTTACCATGACAAGTGCAAGTGTAGCAACACAACAGCACAATAAATATTATTATTACTACTATTACCTCTTACGGAGGCCGATTCTACGCCCGCTTTTGCAACGTGACTTTTTGTTAAGAAATTGAACTTGATTTTCTGTGTTGAAACTGTTTATTTTCACGTGATTGCTACGACGGCTCAAAACCAATTTTTATTTTTCCTCTCTTCTAATACCTTGACGTGAGCTCTACGCCGGCTCAAAACTCATTGAAAATTTTACGCGCTATTCGACGGATTACGAATCTCTCCTACACCTCGGCAAAAAGTTGACAGTTCTCTTATCAATCACAGGATGTGATTCAGCTGTACTCTACTTTTCTAATTTTATCTTACCTAGCGACTCAAGCTATATGCAAATAATTCAACTGGAGTGTATCCAGGAACGTTAGCTCACAAATACTCGAAAAAATTTAAGAACAATTCCAATTAAATAAATACGCTACAGAGCTCCCGTTACATGTCTGAAGCTCCATCTAGAACGTCTCTGGGCGGCTCTAAAAAGCCTTCCGAATGCTACTTTTTTCATTTTTCAAGACTTTCAGAAATCTTCCGATGGCATGAAAAAGAAATTCTAAAAAATGAGACTCTCAAATTTAAGCCTACATGATACACCATTCCCGAATTTAAAAGAAGGTTTTAAGTTTCCAAAAAATAGAAATACAACTCGCGGTTCCAGTCCAAAGATCTAATAACAAAAATATCATAATATTATATTTTAAATCGTAGAAGATTTTAAAATCTCGATTATTGTAACCGGATCACAAGAAGAAGGTATTAATAGGAAATTAATGTCTCCAACGCCTTATTTTATTATTTTGACGCAAATCTTTACTTAAAAAGGAAAAATAAATATCAAACGCCTTTTCGACCGTAATAACCGTATTCCACAATGGATATCAAACATTTTACAATTTTTGAACTTTTGAATTTTCCATGATTTCTACGGCATATCGAAAATTTATCACGATTACGATACTTCTCTTTATACAAACTTTGTATGCGGTTGGAATGTAAAACTAATACGGATTTAGAAAAAAAATCAGTCAACGGAAGAAAAATGTTGAAGATTAGTGTGCGCATGCGCAATATAAACACATTGATTTAAAATTTTAACCACAGATCACATGCTTCTAGTACAGTCCAACACATCGCATCGTAAAACCAGATCGTGCGCATGCGCAAACTGCGCGATGCGCAACTTTTTTATTTACTAAGATATTTTTTGAAATTTTAACTATAGATCCTTCTCGTAAAAACACATATATCGTGTATTAGTATGTATCAAATATGCGCAAAACGCATAAGGATGTTTGTATCTTGCTTATGTCCGTATGGCTTTTCGAAAATGTAGTAAAGTTACTTGCCTTAAGAGGAAAAATCCTTTTCCTTGTTTTTTACGTTATGCCAGGTATGAAATCCAAATCAATCCGAATTGTTTTGCGCCTTGTTCGACTAAACTTTGAGATTCATCACCAGAATCGAGAGTAGACTTGAATCCGATCAGGTCCAGCATAGGATTGAGAATGATCAATCCTGGTCAGGAAATGCAGATGGTCCTGTGAACAATTGATGAGATTAGTACGACCACCAAATACTCGTAAATAATATTCGTTTAATAATCAGTCTCATCGCATGAAAGAAGAGTTAGGACAAGACTAATTAGTTAACGATTTAATTACTCACCTTCTTTTAAAAACGAATAAATCGACCTTCGTGTAGTAATAAATGGGCTATGACTATCCTCGAAAACATTCATCTTGAGAACGTAACAATTAACTGCATTACTTCCTCATAGTATGACTCGCAGAAAAGATCAATATACTTCACGAAACTGGTATGGCTATGAATTCATAGTCATACTGATTTACATGAAGTGAACTGATTGCCGTCCATTCAAAGAATTATTGCAGTGAATCCCACGTCAGCAAAATGATGGGCCGAGGAAATAATCATAACCGATTTAGACTGACAACACGAAGGATAGCTAAAAGAATAGCCAATTTTCACTTTAATCACTGTATGCACTATTCACCCACTGCTAAATACATAAAAAATAAAAAATAGCCCATGCATAGAAAAGAAAATCCTACCTTTATAAGGCTGCCCATCTAGAATCTGAAACAAAAAATTAATGAAAAATATGGAGAAAGGGAAGTTAAATTATGCTTAGTCCAATACTTTTTGAGAGCCCGTAAGAGAAAATTGAACTAAAAACAGATCTTTCATTTCTTGAACAGACTACCCTTAGGTACATTTGCTTTTGTTTAAATTTTACCCTTAATGTCAAGTTCATAATAAAAAATTGGCAACTTACCCTTAGCCTTATTTTTTCGGTCTCGCCCAGGAAGGAACACGAACACAGGAGGGACGACACGCTGCCCCCCGCACTTGTTCGTAGATTACTGACAAACAGGTATGACTAGTTGGAGGCACCTATCTGCAATGTGAAGAAAGTACATATTACAAAAAGCTCTGATACCATGCTGGTGCTGATTAGTGATTTATGTGTAAAACGACACCTATTGCAAATGAAACCAAAGCCAGTTACTTATTTTACAAAGGCAATATGCAACGTTAAAGAAATTAAGAAGTTTTGCGCAAACCAAGTCTGTTTATTTTTATTAGACTTACCGCAGGACCCAGGCTAATGTATTCCATGTCAGAAGTTGGACCCTCACCAGAGATGGAGATCGCGCGCTATGTCTTGAAGTATAACCATTTCTGGGGCTGCGAACAATCGAAAAGATTAGTAAGTAGGCCCCATCATTCTCTTTCAAACAAATTATCGGGTATGTTCGCTTATTCAAAAAACTAGTATGACTATGAATACATAGCCATAGTGATTGATATAAAGCAGTGGCGTAACTAGGTATTTTTTGAAGGGGTGCAGAATCAAGTTTTGGCGCCTTATCGTTTCGATTGAGCTCTAATCGATAAAAACTGTAAAGTATAACTTTCCCGTGTGACTTTTTTCGAGATCAGTGAGCGACGGTGCCTGAGGGGGGGGGGGGGTATAAATTAATTTTATCTCTCATTGTATTCTAATTAAGTACTGCCCTTCTTTCTGTCCTCTTCTAAGTACGTCTTTCTGTCCTCTTCTAAGTACGGGGCGGAGGGAGGGGGGAAGGAACTAGTTTTATCCTTCATGGTACTCTAATGCAGTGTTTCTCAACGGAGGCCATATGCCCCCCTAGGAGGCTATGGCGTATTTCTTGGGGCCACAAACGAAAGACAGAATATTGGTAGACCACGGAAACTTTTCAGTGGGCCACGAAAATTTACTCCTACAATATCTTAATGAAATATTAAAATTAAATAAATTTACCAAAAATGGTCAGCACAAAAATTATACCACAATAACCCTTTATCATTGTTTATGTTATCTCAGTGTACCTTTCCTAGAAAGAACCTTTAAATTTAAATGTTTATAATTGGCAAACGCACAATGCAATTGGTAGACGCAATACCGGAAAATATGTGTTCTTTTTTCTAACACGAATAACACCCCTCTACCGCCTATCAGGGTTATTTTTCTGTAGAGATTAGTTTTTCTACAACTTTCAAAATGCATTTTTTTTTAAATTTCAGCGTCAAAACAAAATGAGCTTGAAAATGGTTTCTTGATAATTAAAAAATAACAAAATTCACAAGTAGGCCATCAGTAAAAAAAAAGTTGAGAAACATTGCTCTAATGAAAGATCTCAACGAAAGGAACCGTTTTCTACCAACTGCTGCAGTGGCGTGCGTATTTACCCAGAAGAATTGAGTTATCATCATAGCTATTAGGTATTTAGGTAATACTCCGCTATCCGCTCCGCCCACTTTAAAATAAAGGCAATAATATATAGGTATATATAGAGAGCAATTTTGGTTTTGAGTAAAATCTAAAGTCACTAAAATCTAAATATTCTGTAGTATTCAGTATTCACTATTCAGGTATCAGGTACTTAGTACTGCTACTGAGGTACCTGCGTCCTGCCTTTCACGAAATGACGAAAATAAGAATGTTAAATTTTAAAAACAGAAATTTTTTGCCCATAACTTTTGATTGAGACGTCTAATCGACAAAGTACGAATTGTTTTGGATTCTACGCACCCAAATTAATAAGAAAAAGTTTTTGCCGAGAAATTTTGGTGCAGTCGATTTTTGGTAAAAAAGGAAGGTTGTACACTGCCTTTTTTTGAGGCACCAAAAAAACATTGTCTCAGATCGACCGAGAAAAAACATTTTCTTATAGAATGTGGCCTGTAGAATCCATAATTTCAAACAGTTCCAAGATTGGGCTACTGGATCACAAGTTACAGCCCTTTGTATTTTCTTTCGAAATTAGTTTCTAGTCTATAACTTTTGATTGAGAAGTCTAATCGAAATAGTACGAATCGTTTTGGATTCTACGCACCAAAATTAATAAGAAAAAGTGTTTTCCCGAGAAATTTTGGTGTAGTCGATTTTTGGTAAAAAAGGAAGGTTATTACTGCCTTTTTTGAGCCCCGAAAAAAAAATTGTCTCAGATCGACCGGGAAAAAAGATTTTCTTATAGAATGTGGCGTGTAGAATCCATAATTTCAAACAGTTCCAAGATCGGACTACTAGATCAAAAGTTCAGCCCTTTGAATTTTTTGTTGAAATTGGTTTTTTGCCCATAAATACAAATAAATATTATTCAAAGTTTTCGTTGACTAATTAAAGCAAAAGCCATAAAGAGGCCTGTCAGCAGTAAGAAATGAAATACCGTTCTAATCTAATCTTTTTCGCCTGTGCAACCCAATTTTTTTTTTCCCCCCCCCCCCCCCCTCCTAGTACGCACTGGGTGACTGTATGTGCCACGAACTTGTTTAATCCCCCCCAGAATAAATTTCTACGTACGCCACTGAACTGCTGCCCTTCTTTCTGTCCTCTTATCAAAGTACGAGCTATTTCTACCAAACATAGCCCTTCTCCTCGACCTCTTATCGTGATCGGGTATATTCCCTTATACCTCAAGAACGGATTGTCGGAAGAGGGTACTCACAAAGGGCGATTGAGACGTCTGCAGGAAATACATCCACTGGTGACGTCAAAACAAAAGCTATTTCGGTTAAAAAAAATGCGCTTTATCTGCACAAGACCTGTGCACAATTTATACTTGTTTTTAATTCTTAAATAATGCGCTAAAAACTGAAGTTCAAAATGCCATCAATCTAATTAAGTAGCTACCTATTCTATGAGTAAACGCGATCTTTATGGAACTAAATTTTCTCATTCCTTAAAAGTAATACGAGGGTTGTCCAGAAAGTAGTAGACGTTTTGAAATAAAAAATTTTAAACTTGTAAAGAAAATCTATTATTAAATAAATTTGGGAGAAACACTCTTGGGCTATTTATCAACACAAGCGCCATTCAAATTGAGGCACTTGTCATAGCGTGGCTCAAGTGTTTTGATTCCAACTGTTATAAATCAGCCGCCTGAGATATTAATCTGCACTGGGTAACGCTGACATGAAGTTCGGCGTCCCTATCGAACCGCTGCGTTGCGAGCCAGGTCTTCATCCCTGGGAACAGGTGGAAGTTTTGTTGTTCGACGACAACGCCCGCCCGTACACAGTCAACCGTACTGGACAGCTCTTGGATGATTTTGGATGGGAGAAAGGATCACCCTCCATACGGCTCGATCTAGCGCCAAGCCACTTCCACCTCTTCCCAGCGATGAAGACCTCGCTCGCAACACAGCACATGGACAGTGATGCCGAACTTCAAGCCGGCAATAACCAGTGGTTAAAGTTGGAATCAAAACACTTGTGCCACGCTATGATAAGGGCCTCAATTGAATGGCGCTTGTGTTGATAAATAGCCCAAGAGTGTTGCCCCCAAATGTATATAATAATAACGGGCGATCAAAAATGAGTTGCTGTCGAGTCGGCTATGGAAGTTCAAGTTAAATACGCTTTTCCATGTAAACAAAAATTCCAAAGGTGACTCGACAGCAACTCATTTTTGATCGAATAGTAGATTTTCTTTAGAAGTTTTTTGTATTCCAAAACGTCTGCTACTTTCTGGACAACACTCGTAAAATCGCACCAAAATAGCAACAGGCACACATCAGTACAAAAAAAACAAGTATTTTTAATAATGGTTTTCACGATTATATTAGCTGTAGGAGTAGGCACTTAGAAGAACGATACGAGGAAATACTTTCGTTGTGCGCTTTTATGCGCGTTTTGTCCAAAAGATTTTCAGCCTTTTTTTTATGTGTAAGAATATGTGTACTAAATTTGGTTCTAATCGTACGAACAGAAATATGTACTTACAAAATGGCTATCAATAATGCCACTCTCCAGTACAAATTTACTCGAAATCATGAATGGAGCTAAAAATTTAGCCGAAAGCAAAAGTACCTAGATATAACAAAGCCCAGGTGGAAATGTTTTTGTGGCCTGTTCAGAACAAAAAAGCGCTTATTTTCAAAATTTCGGGTTAAGTAATGGTACCTTCCTGCAACAATTTAGCAAAAGACAAGGGACATATTTTCTTGTAGGCCGTGCAGTACCTACAAGAGGGCGGTTATTTTTAAAATTTCGATTTCCAGCAAAAGGTGGACTGGATATACATACAAAAAAATGTTTTTTTGTTTTTTTGTTAAAAAGTTAATTGTAACTTCACACAAAGGTTAGCTAAAGGCAAGAGTGGGTAGAAAACAGAAGAAGTGTAGAAGACAGAGATACTTTTTGTAAGGTAGTTCAAAATAAGATCATGCTTATGTTTATAAAATTTGAAGTTAATGGCAACTTTTTGCAATAATTTAGTAGCATGTCCAGAAAAGGGACGGTCTGATACTGGCTGTAAAATTTGAATTTCTCACAAAGAAGTTTAATTTAAATATCTGCAATTATATGCAATCATTTGCAGTAGATTTTCTGAACTTTGCTTTACAACGACTGCAGGTGCGTTAGTGACGTGGCGCGTTATCTTTAAACACATGTTATAGGTAACAATAAAGTTTCCGATTTTATTCTAATTTGACAATATGATCATCATAGGAAAAAGTATATTTACCTACGATGCGTACTGGACTTATGACCAATAATTACCTACTTTTTTTATTTCACGTCACCCCGTGTGTGATCACATCCTGATCTTAATGAACTTACTTATGCATAAAATCATTGAATAATAAAATTATTCAATGATAAAATTCATAAAATGATATTTTCTGGGAATAATGCATTAATCCACCGATTAAAAAAACGAAATCCACTAAAAAATCTTTGAAAACCCATTTCTGAATTTTCATTTGCATTTGGGAGTACATTTTGGGTTCCTTTGTACATTTTTTACATTCCGCCGAATTCAAAAAAACAAAGAACTCACCCTTTAGCTTGATTAGTTCAGTCGCTCCAAGGGAAAAACCGTTACCATTTACCATTGGAAGAAGACGCTTATCACTACACTACCGCACTATTTGAATTCTCGCACGATACTGCAATTGGGAATTTTGAGATAGGCGTATGACAGGTAAGACAGAGAAAAAGTACCTTATCGAACTTCTTGAGTAGAGGTCAGTTCCACGTCGACACTGTTATCTCTAATTGCGATTGGCACGTGAAATTTATTCACGAATTTAGAAAACATTTGTTGATTACGCGTTTTGAGTACAGTTGGATCAAAATAAGTCAAATTATACAGTTTTCTATTTTCAATCATTTTCCTAAATGGGAAAACCGGCATTTTGACCAATTTCTCCGTCCGTACATCAAATTATTCTCCAACGTAGAATACTGAATTTTATCCAAACTTTCTGATAGAAATGGTTATTGTACAATAAAACATAGTAAAATTGGATCAAAACAACCAACTTTTTCAAATAAACCGAAGGTCCAACGTGTTTCGTTTGGGAGCCACCCCTAAAAAAGTGGTGGAATTTGCATTTATTTTTTAATTTTTTTCTCAACGACCATAAGAGTTAGAAAGACTGGTGGCGCGTCTTTAAATAGGTTTTCGGGTATGCCCCATCCGATTTTGAAATTGTTTTTCAAAATTTCTACCACGAAAATCTGAAATTAGGTATTATTAGTTTTTGAAAATTTGGAAAAAAAATTCCACTGCAATTCTTGGCCGGACAACGAAAATGAAGAGAATTCATACTTGATGAGTTCAGGAACAAAATTGAGGAATAGTTTTTGGCACATTTCCACAAAAATAAAAAAAATGCGCTATTGTGGCCACTTTGTCCGTCCGTCCGTCCGTCCGTCCGCTCGTTCTATGAGACGCTACTAGAATTTTTTCTGCGTTTATTGCTAAAAAAGTTATTGTAAAAAAACCAACAAACCGTTTTTTACATGTTCCATAATTTTACACTTTTGCCGTTTATTAATGATCCTAGAGATCGTTTATAATTTTGTATTGCTGTCTGTCGTCTGTCTGTTGGTCTGTCCGTCTGTTCCTTTGTCTGTCTGTCCCTCTATCTGTCCGTGTGAACGATAACTTTGTTTAGAAATGTCCGACCGATTTTACATCTCCGTTAGTTATGAACTGAATTGCATGAAATTCAATATGGGCATAGCTTTAGCCATATAATACGCAATACCAAAAGTTGAAAATTTGGTTTTGCGCATGCGCAATGCCAACTTTTTCATTTATGGAAGAATTTAAATGAAATTTGATACATAGGCACTTGGAATAAAGGAAAATCAAACGCCAGTTTCAAAATTTGTTTTTGCGCATGCGCAGTGTCAGTGCGCAACAATTAAAGTACCTTGCCCAATTAAGTTTCGTTAAAATACACATAAAAATATCAAACTTAATTTTCTATTTGAAATTCTTTACACATCCCTGTAATGATTTACGGTACTTTTAACTGGTAGGAAATACAAAAAATGGACTCACAATACCTCTTTTAGTTCGTATTACTTGAAAACGTCAGAGATTTCCGGATGATGGATATTTTATTACCCTAGGACAAGGGCAGCGTTCTTTGGTAATTGCAGCTCCTTTATATAAGTGCCTGAATACACTATGCGTTTTAAACGCATCCTTCCAAAACGCATCCTGCGAAACCGGAAGGTTTTGTGCGTTTACATTACTTGCGGCGACCGGAACGCAACCGGATAAGTGTAAACGCTCGCATTTAAATCCATTGGATGCAGTCATCCGTTCAAAACGGTCCGGTCAAACGGGACCGGTTAAAACGCATAGTGTATTCAGGCACTAAGCCGCGGAAGAACTCCAACTTTCTTTCATTATGTCTATGGTCACCACTGAATTTTTCGATGGTGGACATTCGGTATAGACATTTTTAAATACAAGATAAATGCTCTCCGAAAATTAGCACATACCGTGATAAATGCAATTCGCGGATACCAATCATGTTCCATATCTCTCCGCTAGTAAACGATTATTGCTTCTTTTGGTAACTTAACAATCCCTCTTGTTAACAGATAAATTTCAACGCGGCGTAGTTTAAGTAACTACTCGTTTGCTGAGATTTATCTTTTTATCCTTTTACTCCTGCAGCCATTAAAATCGCGCGGGAAAGTTATAGTTTGTACCGGATGTCCCAATAAGACTGTTCCTCGACCATATCTCGAGAACCGGTCGTCATATGACTTAGGGTTAAAAAATTATTGGGTAAATCGGTCATGAAGAATGAAAGTTCTAAATATGACCACCAGAGGGCGTAACTGCCACCTTAAATTTTAAAATTGCATTTTCTTTAAATTTCACATAATACACTAATTTCACATTTTTAAAGAGAACCAGTTTATCTATCATTTTCGCAAAAACAAAAACTCAATTAAACAAATGAAACACGATGCATTATAAAATAATAACAGCCGTAATTTGTAAATTATTCTGCTGTGTTTACATTCAGAAAGTGCAGTTTTTTGAATTTGTAATCTTTTCTAAAATGCCGATTTCTAACCAAGAAGCATTTAATATGCTGGCGATATATTTTGAGTATTTTCAAAATGCGACCATCGCTGCCCGCATCTTCTATTTGCGTTATCCGAATCGACCACGAACCATCGCCAGCTTATTAAATGCTTCTTGGTTAGAAATCGGCATTTTAGAAAAGATTACAAATTCAAAAAACTGCACTTTCTGAATGTAAACACAGCAGAATAATTTACAAATTACGGCTGTTATTATTTTATAATGCATCGTGTTTCATTTGTTTAATTTTCCAAGGCCTACCTAAAAGTGTAGGGTCCTTTTCCAAACAATCTTTCGCGCCATCGACAAATACCGGAAATACGTCAAATAAGATACAATTTAAGCATTTTAATTAATTAATTAATTAATCTCATTTTCCCAATATTTGAGGGTAGGAACGAGATTTTGAAAAACGGTTTTCCCTGAACTCTTTGGGTGTTATTTGGCGACTTCTTCATAAAGAAAAAGTCATATCATCCCATTTGATTTTTTAAATTTTTTTAGGATTTTGGATCATAGCGTCAAAACTAGCCCCCTGGCGGAGAAGGATTCAACTAAATTAACTACATTTTGGTTGATTCATCTTTGTTTTTGAAATATCTGAGTTTTTGTTTTTACGAAAATGATAGATAAACTGGTTCTCAGTTCTCTCTAAAAATTACGAACGGTTCCCGAGATATGGCCGAGGAACAGTCTTATTTATTTCGATGAGACTTTTCATTAGAATACCATGAAGGGCAGAACGCGTGATAACCTCCCCCCGCCCCATTTCCAAAGTAGTAGAATGTAATTTTCATGGTATTCTAATTAAAGGTCTCGACGAAAGGAATTAATTTCTACCACATATACTCCTCCTCCTCGACCCCCTTATCGTGATTGGATATATTCCCATACTCCTCCTCCTCGACCCCCCCCCCCCCTCCATTGTGATTGGATATATTCCCTTTATATCTCCAGAACGGATGGCCTGGACGAGACACATCTATTGGTGAAATCGAAGCAAATACCATGACAACGAAGGGTACTCATAAAAGGCAAGTGGAACGTCAGGACGAAACAACACGTGCAAATATCTGCAGAATGGAGTGTTGAAGGATTTTGTATAAGAAATTTGCACTTAAAGTCATTCTAACGTCGAGAGGTCGATTCGCGGAAATTTATCTTACGAACTGTGTATTTTTTTAGGAATGATAAGTGAACCCAAACCAGAGATATTGGTAAATTTTTTGTCATTAATTGCGAAGCTGAATTTTAAGTTCATTAATACCATTCTTTTGTGAGGGTTGAATTTTATTTAGCATCCATGGACCATGGTATTGGAGTATTGGAGTCATTACTGAGCTAGCCGTGGTATTAATTATTTCATTATGTACAAAAAATTAATTGTTGCACAATTTATACTTGTTTTGCTTTTTGCCTCCGTAGTTTTTTGTGAATTCCTCATGGTCCTCGATGCCTTAGGTTGCCTCCTTTGGCATCTTTTCCAGATTCTTATAGGCTTCCTCCACTTCTTTGACACTTTCGACCGCTGACATGTTTGTCTTCCCCTTCTGTTGAAGAAACGGCAAAGTCCACCTTCTAAAATATAATTTCCGTTGGCAAGATGAGTCGGAGATTCAGAATATCGATCGCCTTAGACCCGCCAATGGTGCTGAATATATTACTGTGAAGTTATCTTGCACGTATCGATAATGCAAAGCATTGAAATGGATTAATCTTGATATCATCTGCATTCGATATTACTTTTCTGTTGACATTGATACTATTAACACGCTATCGGCACGCAAGTGGGACGTACCAAATATAACATCAGAAAATCCAATAAACTGTCAGTGAAACGCAGAGGAACGTCCGAATAGGACGCGCGATTTTTCTTCTCCGGTGCTCGTGCGCACAGTGTCAATGGGATTAAAAAATGGCAAAGCTGCACGGAAACGGCTAAAAAAGTTTCCGTCCTTTCCCGAAAGTAAAAGCGATTCCGAACTGCCCAGATTCGTTCCACGCAAAAACAGTTGGATCAATGACATCAACTCGCCCGCCAAACTGAAAGCGAACGGCGAACATTTCACCCCCTTCACCAAGATCCCGGCAATTGGAGAAAAGTTGCTTACGGCAAATTACCATTCGGACTCCGATACGCTCAAAGTGCGTGGCGCGAGTTCCAAAATTCCCATTTTGAGAAGTCACAGCGTGAACAAGGGTAGCGTCAGGTTCGGTCCGAAAGAAGCTGAAGAACCCCGACCCGCTTTGTTGGTAAGGTGTAACACCTACGTAGTGCTCGACCCAGTTATCTGCATCAAACCCAAAGACGACTTAAATAAGACTTACACGAAGAGCAAAAGTGATAATATTAAAGTATTCGGGTCAAAATTAACTAGTGACTTATTCGTTAATGAGAACAACGCGAAGGTCGACGTTCGAAGGAGCGATTTGAGCGCGCTAAATTATTTATTTAACAACTTGAATCTATCACGAAGTAGGAAAAACAACCCCCTTCTCTCAAAGAATAATCCGTGGTTGCTTTAAAATATTTATAATTTG